GCGCCCGGGGGGGGTGGTGGGATCATGCCCCGGGGAGCCGGAGGGTTTCGGAGGAGATTCCCCTTCCTGCAGGACAGGTACAGGCATACTTGTTCTTAGGGCCCTGGGCTAGGGCCCGTGAGTGAGGGTGGGCCTGGGCCCCTCTTCCCCCCCCGCTGAGTGGTCACTCACAGGACATATAGTGCTCAGTGCCCGAGGGGACCATTACTCTGAAACTAAGAACCAGTGGATACCCGTCGCCTGGGGCGGCGAGGTAGGACAAGGGGGTACCCCGCCCCCATCTTGGACCGGGCCGCGGGGTCTGCACCCCAACACTCCCCTTCCCCTGTGCCCTCAGTGTGCAGACTCTCAGTTGGCTGTGTGGCCTGCTTAGCGAATCCCCTTTTAGGGAGCAGCTTTATTGCTGCTTCTGAGCATCAGGCAGGCGTACGCTGAGGCTCATCTCCCCACTTTCCACACTGTGAACCTGGGCCCAGGGTTTCCCAGCTTAGGGGTGCAGCGTTGGCCGGCTCGGAAAGCCTTGCGCTGGTTCCAAGCCGTCGTTGCTCCTGACTCAGTCAGTGGGAGCTCCGCACTGCTAGAAGTCAGGCCGCTTACTTAGGTCCCTAATGATGATGGATTTATCCTGGATGATCTGTACTGTAGTAGCACTTGAAAGCCCCTGCTCAGATTGGGGTGCTTTTGTGCCAGGTGCCGTACAGATATGTAGTAAGAGAGGAATCTCTGCCCTGTAGGGCAGCGATGGGCAACCTAGGCTCGTGAGTGGGCCATAAGAGAGGCCCACTTACATCTCAGCAGGCTGAAAATTATTGTAACTCAGAGGGCCTCCCGGGAAAAGGTGGTTTTGCTCACTTCACTTGCACACCTAGGATTTGTCGGGTGTGCCGATGGAACTGTAGCAGCGCTTTGATCAGCTGCAGAGGGAGTGCACGGCTCTGCATGTGAGCAACAGTAAATGCAAAGTCTCGGGGGCCTCTCGCACAACCCTGATCGGTCACAGGTTGCCCCCCACTGCCAAAGGTCAAGAGATTTAGGCATCCAGTTCCCTGGGAGTGAGCTGCCGAACTTTCAGTGTCCGCACTTGGAAGAGTGGCTCTGGCTGGAGACTCGACTTGCCTGCTTGAGTGCACGATGCTGGGTCCAGGCTACCATGCTGGCTTTGCCCTCGTCCCTTTGCATTCCAAGCTGCACTCCGTGTGCTCTCCCTGTTCCCATAACCTGCACGACTCTCCCGGCTCCGAGAGCAGCAGCCGTTCCCGCGAGATGACCCCCGAGGCATCAGCACCTCATTCCTGGAAGCCCTGCAGCACAGGGAGGAGGACGCAAAGCCGTGAGGAGCCAGCGGGTGCCCGGGGCATGGAACTGCACGTTCGTGGGTTGCTGCTGCTTTATAATATTCTGTGGCCGTTCAGGGCCTGAAGCACGGCATAAGCCAACACCTGTCTGTGGAACAAGGGTGCAGTGTTCAAGGAGTCTCTTCTTCTCACCCCTCCGTACAAATACTCCAGCCCTGGCTCAACACACCAGCGTGACCCGACACTGCAGCACCCCGTAGGATGCCCAGTGCCCTGCACACAGCTACAGTGGGGGATTATACTCTGCCTCTGTAAAACCAGCCACACACCCCAGGCAGTGCTGACTGCATGCAGGATGCTGCCCACTGCTG